TCCGAAAACGCCTTGTTTCATTTTTTGGTGATGGCCTACCGCAAACAGTGTGTGTATTTGTATGTGAAGTCGCCATATAACACAACATACGTATTTCAACAAAATCTTGACACCTTCCTCTTTTTCAATAGTTGCCCATTTCATCCCAACTTCACAATTCATTCGCATCGAAAACATCCAACTCGTCCCTAACTTGCTCATCGATCTCGCCCCACAAAATAACCAATCACCAAATTAAATCAAAGAAGCAACAAATTCTATCTCTGATTGGCGCATTTCAATCCTCAACCGGAACTGAACGCTTTTCCCTTTTAATAACCATTGACGTTTCCAAATTTGTATTTTGTGCGTCTTTACTCCTATAAAAAACAACTTGCGCAAAATCACTTTTCACGAATGCTAAAACTCCGCTTCCGCTTTCACTCAGTTTCCTATAAGCCCAAAATAAGTAATCCACGCACGCCGACTATTCGACGTTCTGCAAATATACTGCAGCGACGTTCTGCAGTGGCGCAATCGACTAATCCCTCAATTTAGGGTCTCATCTGATCTGACAGGTCACACGTGAGCAGGTTCAAACCCTGGGAAAGCCAGAAATAATAATTATTTCTTCCTCGAATAAGTGAAAGAATAAATCAAAGAACTCGAAATGATCTCGAGATATCTCGAACTAATTCGGCTCTCACTTCGAAACACTCGGAAGTAACTTTCTCAAATCATTAATAATTCATAAAGAAAATACAAAGGAAATTAATGTTTAATGAGTGGTTGAAAATCAGAGGAGAAACTGTTCAGTTTTGCATCCTTAATTTCTCCTTCTAAAATTATTTTGTTGGAGACGTAATATCAAGCATTCGACACAAGTGTTTCATCACCAGATGAAACACCTCGAAGTTCGTCAAGAATACAACGCGCAGCGGAATATTTTCAAGTCTCTTCTCAATGTCTCATCTGTTGATGAAACACTACGTCTGATGCTTGATATCTTACTTGAAACATTTCAAGGCGTCGCGAATCGTTTACTTCGCGCTCCTCCGAAGTAATGAGCTCTCGTAAGCGACTGTGTAGTAAAACAATCGAGGTTGGTCGCTTACGAGAGCTTCAGAAATCCATTTTTCATAAAGAAAAAACAAAAGAACTTGTAAAATATTGAAGTGTACCTGATATAGGCACGGCTAAACTTTACGTCCAATTTTTAGACCATTAGCGCAGTGTGCACTTTCATTTAAGTGTTGATTGGGTTATCCCAAGAGTGGTCGCAGTCGCTTCCGAGAGCTTTACATTACAAAGTTTAAGTCACAGTTCAAACGGTGTTTCACAAAGGTCGCTTACGAGAGCGGACGGAAGGAGAGCTTCGACTGTATTCACCAAATTAGCGTCTCAAGAGCAAAATAAGAAGAAATGAACTGGGTACCGGGAGCTAAGTAGAAGGATTTTTGTATGTTTGATTTTGACATTTTGGAAAGATAATTAATTTATCATAATTGTAATTATGATAATGTAATTATGTAACATACTGAGATATGCTCACTAGATAGTTATGTTGTTAACGTTTATACAAAGATAGGTTCTAGCCAATCAGTCAATTATTTTTGAAATTGTTTATCCCATCCGAAAAGCAAACTATGATTTTTTTCATGTATGAGAAAAACAGTTTGCCCAATCAAATCCACCACCAAGCGTGAGTTTCGTCGCCAGTTGCTTTGCAGGTTGCTTCATAGTCATTCAGCAAGAACATTTACTAAACAATCCAGGAATTGGTTTAAAAATACCTTTCTTTTTGTAGAGAGCCTAAAAATGACAGTGCTTAGGATGTGGTAAAAAAAATAACAAGATATCAAATAAAGCTGCATATCTTATCTAAGTGATCAAAAATTTCTTTTTTAGTGCTAAATTTGAACAATGTCCAAGGAATACTTTCAAAGTATCCACTGGCATCAGCGATTGTAAGACTTATTGGCGAGAACTGCCCAGAGGTAAGATAAGTTTGCTTCTTGCAAGTTTTATGTGTATTCTTGACACGGGAAGACCCTGGGTTCGTGACTATGCTTAACATGTTTTACAGTAGCTGTTGTCTAAGCCTCTAGTCTCTCAGAGGTACGTTAATGACAAATGCTACCTTAGGGACGTCAGAGTGTGCTCTCTTGCTACTCCTTTTATATTTTGTTATTTCCCTTTTGTAGGTTCAGTCACTTGATATTAGCAGTAATAGGCTACGAAATTTGGATGGCTTCAAAGATCTTGGAAATCAAGCATCAAGCCTAAAGCACCTAAAAATTTGCAACAATCAGGTAAGCTACAGAGCAGGTCTGACTACAAGCATCGCTGCTGGAACAGATATTATTGTCTCCCTCATTATTCTACAAGTAACCCGAGATCAAAATAGGATTTGCAGGGGAAAATCCTAGTAGCTGATTGTTTCTTTAGCGTTAAAATTTTAATCAAAATGGTTCACGTTACTTCAGTTGCGGTTTTCATCTTTGTGAAGGGTTTGAACCCAGTAGTCATTTCATAAGTAGGTTGAGTGTGATCGTCTAAGTGAACGTAGTCCTGAGGAGGACTGTTGTTGACATCTTCAGAGTCAAAGTGAGTTGTATCACTTCAGTTGATGCTATGAAACTCTGGTCACTGATCTAATTGGTCAATTAAGTCGCGATGTTATTAGTCGTCGGTCAGATGTCATTGATGCGTTTCGATCCGTCTATTGTCACAGTTAAAGAGTTGTTTATTGTTTGCCAATTATCAGTTGTCCATGAAGTCGTTCTCTCGTAGTTAGTTTTGCTTTGTTCCGTCAATAAGTGGTTTGCACGGTGATGGTAACTGTTGACTACGATTCAGTGGCGTTTGTTCTAAGCCGATTTATGGCCATCTTGTATGGTTCTTAGTGGAATGTCCAATTCACTGTTGTTATACACACATCGAAAAGGCTCTCCCTTATACTACCACATTTCCTAGTCCATTTAAGGTGGCTCGATAGGGTTTTTCAGGGTAATTACCTCGACGGTCGAGCATAAAATACGTCGCCAATAACAAATATTTGGAAAAATTACTACTACAGCTGTATTAGGTAAAGATGAAAATTTTTGATAATCAGGGTTACAAAGACATTGGAGTTGTGATAGCAACGAAATGACGCCATCAGTATTTCTCGGCACTGGGAACTCCAAAATCGATCACGGGAGCTTTTTCCTTCAATAGCCGCCTCAGTGTCTCCAAGTTTTATATTTTCGTGGACCATAACAGCTAACATTTCTCCATATTTCAATTGCATTGTTAGGTACATGTACTGCTGTTCACATGGAAATGAAACTTGGAGACAATACCCTTGAATAATGGCTCTTACTTGTTAATACGAAATTTCCGACAAAAAATTAGCGAATTGTAGCCCTAATTTTACCGCCTTACAAGATATCAGTAACTCAAGGTCATATAAAATCTGAGTATCCCAATTTTTTAAAAAAATCTAGCTAGCGGTTTCAAAATTATTCGCTGATTTGTTTAAGTAGACCAAAATGTTTACAAAACCGCTAACAAGAACTTTAATAATTTTCTCAGGGCAGTTCGGTTTTCGTGCCAACCACTCAACTGAACATGCCCTTCTGTTAATCACTGACCAAATACAGAGAGCTATTGAAGGTGGTCATTTCTCCTGTGGCATATTCTTTGATCTCGCTACAGCAGACCTCGGCCTTGATGTACTGACCGAGCGATACATAATAATAATAATTTAAACATATTTATACAGGACTGCTTCATCAGTTTTAAGAAAAACTGCTATCATTGCAGGTCCTGTAAAAAAATTAAAAATAAAAAATAAAAATAAAAAAAGATTTAAAATACTGATAAAGGTCAAATTACAATATTATAAAATAGTTCCACTAAACGGAAGATTCGAACAGTTATAAATTCTAAGAATTATTAAAAAATTTTGTAGAAAAAAGCGCGCTTGTTGCATTCTAAGTTAAGTTTTTCTAAAATAAGGTCATTATTATTTCTAGTTTTGTGGCGGTGAATGTCACGGTTTCTTACATTGAAATAATTAGAAAGGTATCTGGGAACTCTATTTGCAATGCACTCATTAAAAAATCTTAAAATGTGTGTCCGTCTTCTATAATAGAGAGGTTCCAAGCCCAGTTTGGTCATACATCAAAGCCTCGGTCTAAGATTTCCCTGTAATGACTTCACCCTCACTTAGTCAGTGGTATGTCCAGATCTCTCAAGGGGCTAACGAGAGGAGAAGTGTTGTTTAGTAATTAGAAACCCATAATATTTTTTTCAGGTTATTAAAAAATTATTTTCTAACTCATTAACTGACCCAATTTTGGTTTTAATCTTTATAGCTCAGAGCTGTCGAAGAACTGGACAAGATAAAATCTTTGAACCAGCTTGTTTCTCTGGAACTTGATGGTAATCCCTTGTGTGACGTGTTTCAAAGCAAAGGAAACTCTTATATCAAGTATGTTTACGTACGTGTGTCTTGTGATTGGTTGGGTGATTGTTGGGCAGCTCCAAAATTCAGCACCTACCTACATTTTATAAAGATGTGGATTGGCCTCCTTTTATGTCCTTCCAAGTTAGAACCTAAATCTTAAATTTTCAAGGCGTCGATTGAAGCTTCTACAGCATAAGATGAAGTTCATTGGTCAAAAAAGTCTCTAATCTTGTATCCAGTTCAGTCGTTTCTGGTCATTGGATTGTTCACGTTTAATGCCAATTAACTGCTCATTTAATCCCGTCAAATATTTTGTTATCCGTTTAATAGCGGATCAAACTGATCCAAAAAAAGTTTGGCATATTTTCGTGTGTATCTTCGGCAAACCGCATGTTTGTTTATGGAAGTAACATAGCAATTTATTTGACAAAAAAAAAGGAATATGTCAATGAGATTTTTTGTTTCTCTGCAAACCATAGTACCTCAACGTCCGCCTGCGTGGCAGGAATTTGATGGGAAAGGAACAGGTGTTTACTCGGATTTGAACAACTGTCATGCAAGCTACCTCAAACATATCTCTAGGGGCTTTGCTTTGTCATCCACGTCCCTTTCCAAAGAAACCAGCTTTGATGGGAAATAATCCCTCATGGACTAGACCTCTGGCAAGCCTCACAAGTCACTCATGCAAAAAGAAATATGAAAATTATTTTTATTTTCTTTCTTTCTTCTTGCAGCTCTATCAGAAGCAGATTTCCTAAAGTTACCTCTTTGGTAAGTAGTGGTGACTTTCCTGCTTTTAAACTGACTGCCCTTGATTTTAATATAGACTGCTTTTGATTTTAGTAGTACATCAAATCCACGTAGAAAAATACTATAATTTAATATTATTGAGTCGTTATTGTAAGTTCAGGTTTGGATACTTGCCTGGCTGTTCTGATCTCACCACAAACTAAGAAAAATAAACAACAAACTGCTCCGAAATGATGTAACAGGAATTACTTACTTATGTTTACTTATTATTAACGTTTTTGCCTGAGTTGCATCATTTGCTTTGGCATAAAATTAATATAGAAATTGCCTCTTTGAGGAGTAATGTTGATGTTGGTCCTTACCAGATATAATCACACCATGGTCAGGATTTTTTGGTGGTGACTGCCTTAAGTTTTTTTTCGTGGTGACTGTTAAAGTTCTGGAGAATCTTCTTTCAGTTATAGGCTTTGAACAGAGTTTGAACAGAGTTTGAAGAGTCATGTGGTTACTATGCGCTACCTGTTACTTGTCTTATAAAAAGGTCTCTCTTAAGGTTTCTTGATCAATGAAAATGAAGAAAACTGCCTCTATCCCAAGATGCTTTGCATATTAAGGCCATACTATTATACTGGCTTAAAAATAATGCAGAGTTTGTTCTTTGTGATTATTGTGAGATACCCTTAGAAGTTATTAAGGCTAAGTTAACTAAAAAGGTTTCCTTGTAAGGAAAGGAGGTAAGTAAAAACCTTGTAGCCAGCCACCAGACAAGTGAGCTTCTTTACACTGTTGTTGATAAAAAGCAAACTAAGCCTGAGCAATTCATCCCATAGGATGGCCATGAGCTTCCTGCCCCAATTGGATTTGATCTTCCTTCAGAGCAAGTTCTTCCTCCCTCAAAGGTACTATTTCTTAAGTATTTGGTATAAAATGTAAACAAGTCTTATAAAGTCTTCGCGCTTGGGCCATAAATAATCGATGGAAAAAAACTTGGTCCTTAATTTACAGTACGGACCGAAAACTCGGCTGATAAGAGGTATATATTGGAAAACAGCCATGATTCAATTTACCGCTGTTGACCTCTGGAAAGATCTTCCCCAATATTTGACAGACCTCCCACGTTTACTAAAACAATACCTATTAAATATACAATTCAAAAATTTATCATATGTGTTCTTTTCTCCATTTTGTGTATTGTGTGTGTGTGTTATTTATTTATACATTGTTTTTTTCTTTGCTACAATTATACTTAGCATATACACACTCAGCGATCTTGGTGATTTAAGCAATCTGATTGATTCGCTATCTCGGACTATTCAACAAAATTCACCTCCTAGCGAGTGGATAATGTGTGAGCTCGTTTTTTTCCCCATTTTCTTAGAGAAAGATCTTTTAAAAGTCGACAAAATCCTAGGGTTGACTTTTTTTCAGGCAAGAAAAGACTTCGAAGGATTCAAAACGGCGTTTTTCCATTTACTGTTGTTGAGTTTTGTGGTCGATGAATTGTTTACAACTCCCGTTAAAAATTTGGCCCAAAAACGAAGTTTATTTATGACAAACAAATTTGAAAGCAAATGTTTGCAGCAATTCTACGTTTCAAGTAAACACGAGAAAGAATGCTACATGAGAACGACGTCTTACCTTGACGAACCGAATCGCCATTTTTGTCAGCACTTCATGCGAAGAACGACACAACAAACCTTTTCGGCTATAAACTTGGCGAGTCAACAGAAAACAACAAAGCTCTTCTTTTCTTCTCAGGTAAGGAAACAATTCAAACTTTTAGCGGTTCCATTTAAGTCATTACGCTGTTGTTTGCGAAGTGATAAGCTTGTGAATAGCCATGTTTGAAAATTGTAAAAAGATCTGTTTGTAAACTGTCGCGTGTTTAACTGACCTGATCTGTCAATCAAATCGTACTTTTTAATGGTTTCCTCTCTGATTTTGTTGAGATCACTTCGGGTGTATATACTAAAACAATTATTCTTTTCAATCTCGGTGAATAGTGGCTTTAGGAATATTTACCTCGCCACTTCTTGGCTCGGTATGTATTTTACCACTATTCACCTCGATTTCAAAGAATAATTGTTAATTGTCACCACTGTATTATCATCTGATCGCTAGGAGCTAGCACGAAAACCTTTGTTAATCAGTTTAGTTCCTAGACAATCGTTAATTTAACAATTAATGAATGAGGCTGAGTATCTTATGAAGAATTATGGAGATCGAGGAGGGTGTTATCCGTCGAGGCCGTAGGCCGAGGCGGATAACACCCTCCGAGATCTCCATAATTCTTCATATGATACGAAAGCCGAATTCAATAATTGTTTTATTATTCATTCAAAATAATTCCTAGTTTAAAAACATGGCTAAAACATGCTTACCTCCATCGATCCATTGATGTTAAGTTCATCTTCGATAGTGCACGTTTAGCTTTGTCCAGCTCCGCAAATATTCTCCAAATAGCAGATGTCGCCCTTCGAGTTGTCTTCTTGCTGTTCTTGCCGTGTTTTTAGCGATTTTTTCGCCTAGTTCTTACTCTTGAAACGAGTGAAATGTCCGCCATTTTTTCAAGTTCACAACCAAAACAACTCAACCTCGTCCCCAGGTCTTCTCGGTTAACGGTGCCTTAACCTGCGAAAACGCTGCATTTTTGACGTCATTTCCTCGTTAAACACAAAATTCTGCCAAATTTGGTCATCAGAAACTGGTTATGGTGAATTAAACGTGTGCTTTTAGCCAATCAGAACCGGGGAAATATTTTGAATGAATAATAATAATGATTTATTATTCATTCAAAATATTTCCCCGATTCTGAGTGGCTAAAAACACACGTGTAATTTACCATAAGCAGCTACTGATGACCAAATTTGGAAGAATTTTGCGATTAACTAACCGATGACGTCAAAAGTGCTGCTTCCTTGTAGGTTAATGCACCGTTAACCGAGAAGACCTGAGGACGAGGTTGAGTTGTTTTTGTTGTAAAAACAAAAATGGCGGGCATTTCACTCGTTTGAAAAGTAAGAACTACGCGAAGTAATAGCTAAAAACATGGCAAGAACAGCAAGAAGACAACTCGAAGGGCGACATCTGCTATTTGAAGAATATTTTCGTAGCTGAACAACCCTACGCGTGTACTATCGAAGATGAACTTAACATCGATGGAGGTAAGCATCTTTTAGCTATGTTTTTAAACCAGGAATTATTTTGAATGAATGATAAGACAATTATTGAATTCGGCTTTCGTATCATATGAAGAATTCTGGAGATCTTGGAGGGTGTTATCCGTCTCGGCTGATAACACCCTCCTCGATCCCCAGAATTCTTCATAAAATACTCAGCCTCATTCATTAATGGTTAAGTATCCATTCTACGTAACCTCATTTTTTCCTTACTATTAGCTATCATTAAATGTAAAATTTATCTCTAAATTGATGTAATAAAGGTTGTTGTCGGTGACAAACACTGAACGGCTTAGACGTTTTCGTTTTGAATAATCCACTGGCTGTAAGGCGCACTTTATGAGATTTAAATGATTTTCTGTATTTTCGTCATCAATTAAAGTGCTTTTAAAGGTCTTTTAATAAAGGGAGCACCTTAAAAATTCTAATAATTCCCAACGGCTTAAGACAACCTCTCAGATCATTTCCTTACTCGTGCTGTAAGTATATACAATTTGGCAAATAAAACCCATTGCTTATATTTGGCTATAATCCTGTTACACGTACCAGTCGCTTTCCACTGTGTGGTCCATAAATGGTATACACTAATGTCCATTTTTCTTCCAGGATAGTTTCCTTGGTGATCCTCCAATTAAAGAGTTGGTTCTTAAATTCCTTGAGCAGTATGTATATTCTTTACTTTCTATACGCCAGAGGGCTTCTACAGTCCTTCCTCAGCAAGGTGGCAACTTTGACGTATTCATTACGTTTTGTTAAAGTATTTTTTCCATAACGTGTATATGGGTACATTTCAAAGAAACACTGTTCCCCAGTAAGCAAAATAAAACGGAACTACACTCTGAATCACTCTACTATTAGACGACGTGAATGTAACGCCTTGTAATGACAGGTAAAATAGAGTGAAATCTATCCCTTGCGATTTTAACAACAGCCAAACGAACTGTGAAGTATTTTTATGTGCTGCTATTGTAGTCGATAGTGATAGTAGCTGGTACTAAAGCAGACAATTCTAGTGATATTAATGTCATCTCATCATCTCATCTGCTATAGATGGTGGCCAGAAGCAGAGTTATCTTGAAGAATGTAGTAATTTGCTGTTTGATCAGACAAGTGACTCTCCGTGCAAGGTGCACAGTTGTTTTGGCTGGGTCAGGTCAAGCGTGAGATGGGGTGGTATAATAATCTAATGCCAAACTCCGGCTGACCTGTTTCAACCCACGACAGGGACTACAGCAGCTAATGACACAGCCTCCTGTTCAGTGCCCATGTCTTTCAAAAATGAAGGGATCACTTTTTAAACGTCAACTTTATGAGATTCACTACGTGATAGTATGTGGTGCATGTCTTGCTTCTATCACTATCCCCAGTAAATGCAGTCAACACAGCTGGTTGTTTTTTGTTTAAATATGTATGTTTATGTTGTTTCCAAACTTCACGAAAGCTCTTTGCCTGTCATTGCAAGGCCTTTCTATAAATCGAAGTGTAAAAGGAATTAATTGCAAGAATTGCTAGTGAATTGTTTTCAGTCATATTGTTACATTGACCGTGATGTGAGGGCTATGGTGTAATCCATCAATCTCGACTCTTTTTACTGGTACTGAGTCATCATTGTTATGAAGAACTTGTATATCACATAGGTAAACCCCGTCTTGCCCTTCAAGTTAGTCGTTTCTTATGAGCTTAGGTTGAGCTTTCATTTACGAAATAATTTTTCTAAGAGATTTTTAATTGGTTATAAACTTTTGTCTACTTTGTTCCGTCTAATGCCTTTTTTGTCAGGTACTTTAAGATTTATGACACAAGTGACAGGCAAGGTCTGCTGGAAGCATATCATGATCAGGTCGGTACTGACCTTCCTGTCAACAAAATTTAATACAACGTTTGAATGGAGATGAGTGCCTAATAGTCTAATATTTATGTTTTTTTCTTAAATAAAATTAATGGTCCTTTTCACATTAAAAAATGGATACCTGTTGATTGGATCCAAGTCTTTGAACTCCCGACCAGCCCAAATCTATTGATACTTGAACAGCAATCCAATGTAAAAACAAATTGTCATTTTTCTAATTTACAAATGCATTTTTAAAGGCAATATTCTCGTTGTGTGTGAATACGGGAGTAACGACGAAGGATCGCAGTGGTCAGAGGTGAGCTTATCTTAAATGTTGTGACGTCGATGGACATGCATCCCCAAAGCCTTGGGGAATGAGTCTCCTGCCTTTTTTAAAGCTCGCCGTTTGTATTTTTTGTACTTCAATTTTATCGTTGATTTAAATTTTTATTTTCCTTTGTTTTGGGGTATGGTAATGTACGTTAATGAGTTTAAAACAGAGGGAAATAAAATTTAAACCAAGGATAAAATTGAACCACAACATATACTGTACTTTGTCCTGGATAAATCTTTATCTCACGAACGAAAAGTGGGGTAGTCCTGGGCTTCTTGTAAGGCCCAGTCCTCCATCTTTTGTACACATCACCCGTCGCCGGTCCTCTTCGACGCGGTCGTAGTATGGCTTTCCGTCGACGTGGGGTTACACCTTACCATGAACAACATCCAAACGTGCCTTCGACAAGCTCAAATTTACTTTAATTCTTGCCATTTCTTCTGTTCTCGACATTTTGTGGCTGTTTTTTGACCCACTCACACCTCTTTTAAATAGCGCAGGCGTAGCGTCACCAATTGTCATTTCTGACCGGTTTAAATTCTCCCGGCTAATCATTCATATCCAGCTAGCGTTGACCAAATTTGGAATATTTGCCGATATCGATACAATTGACGTCAATCTCGGAGAGTATTTTCAACCTCGTACCATAACACACTCTTTGAACTGTGGTATCTCCTCATATCATTGCACTTCATCTAATAATTGCTAGTTAACTATGCATACGTCTGGAGAGAATTGATTGAGAGGATTGACCCAGCTTGGTCTCAAGATTTCTTAACACCCACCAGGGCCGGGTTGTTTCAAGCTAGGTTAAGATAACCCAGGATTAGTGTGAAATTTGATTTAGATATGAAAGCTTAAAAAGCAATTTCAGTTCAATTCTTCTTGTCTACAATTTGATTATTGGATGCCTTTAAAAGAACAGGGAAAATTAACCCCGAAACTGCTTTTGAAGAAAAGAAAAAGAAACTCGGATTAAAATTGAACCCTCGGTTAGCACTAATCGGTCATCGAACAACTGGGCCCAGGGGCCTGTTTCTCGAAAGTCCCGATAACTTTTCGGGCCCGACAAGCTGTTTTATGTTTGCTGGGTTTGCATTCAGGGTCAAACCTTCAATAATTTTAAAAATGACAATAGGAAAGTATCAGTTAACAAACCAAAATTGACCTTTTTGTGAGCTAGGAACTTCGCTACCATTCAACTGGTTTTGATTTCGAAATTTGCCTTCGGAGCCGAAAAGTTACTGGACCTTTCGAGAAACGGGCCCCAGAACATTAACCTAAGTAAATTCAAAATCTCTTTTAATAAAATAGTATGCGCTGGAAACTATTAAAGAAAAAAAATAGATCGCGTTGTTTTTTGTTTTTGTTTTGTTTTGTTTTGTTTTTTCACTTTTTTCACTCTTTTTAATTTTTAGGGGGCCGTCTCTGGGAGAATATTTGAAAAATAGCAGAAATATGAAGCGGGTCATTGATCCAGGTGAGTTAAGTACGTTTATTAGCTAGTGACCTTATATCTCGCTAAACTCTCTGGTGCCTCACTAGCATTGGATGCCCTGTGTAACCACCTACTTTACAGGGGACCCAGACTCTATGGGATTTCGTCGTAATTTGAATTTCACAAGAGAATGTTTGAGAACAAACAAAATCACCTTTCGTTTTGTATTGTGTGTTTTTCATACAGTTCGCGTTTACAGCCATTTGGAAGCCGTTTAGGCGAGTTTTAGATTTCGAGTTGTACTAACAATAAGTTCAATCACGATATCCGAACACTTCATTATCAAACAAGTAGTAAAAACAACCGCAAGTCTAATAGACCCCCCGACCCTTCCCATGAAGTTTTAAAATTTGAAGAAAACATGTTTTTGGCTGGTTGGGGCTTCAAAGCATAGATGTTCAGTTTGAATTGCTTTGATGAACAGATCTGTGTATTATATACACGCGACCTACCACATACAAACGCAACAAGACGCTACGGAGCGTGCACTTCGGCGTCGTGATTGTGGAACTGATTAATTGCAAATGCGGAGGAATAGTAAGAAATGAAATACGGTAAGAGTAAGCAGAGTAAGGCGTTAATTTGTGAAATTATGGAATTTGTCAGGATATTCTGAAAAAAGCAACATCCAAGAGGCCTACTTGACAAAACAAACAGTGAAAAAAATAACTTTCTATTTTTCTTAGTCACATCAGGCCTCAAAAACAGCATAGCAGTCTCATGTACTGATTAAAGATATGTAAGGCATGGGTAAGGAGTCAATTACGTTGAGCATGGAATTGGCTAAAACTCAATGTTACGAGTTCGAAGGTTTTGAGAATAATTATTCACTGACTATCAGCACGCAGGGATGTCGGATTAACTCCAGGAAGTCTAATACCAAAGGAAAATAGCCTTTACAGAGCTTTAAAACACAGCATCCGCCAACACAAACTTGACTTGAACTTAAGTAGAACTTAACAGCCTCTGGCAATAATAACAAACTCTCACTTGAACTTCAGATATCTTACGGCTTCCGCCAACTTGTAAACACAGAACTTCGTCACACTTGACTAAACACAGCAGTCCAGCTCGTGGGAAAAAACTTCTTTCGTCAAAAGAACTCGCTTGAAACTTGTATGCTGTTTAACATAAGATTCTAGAAAATACTAAACAGGCGAATAGTAGTAGCTTTTCGACATATTTTATGATTTCAGTAACTGATGCAAATCTACTGACTCATGCTGAAATGTAAACATGTCCTAATTAATTTTTCATGAATAATCCAAAAACGTAGAGAACGTTCGAGAAAGTCACGCAACGCATGAAAGCAATTTTACTACGTAACACTCAACAAAGACAAAATGTCTTTGCGTAGCATTTTGTAGCTTTAAATTCATCATAAAATAGTTCGAAAGGAGCTCTCACTCGTGAAATGTTCTTCAACACTCGAGGAGAAATTTCGTTTCTCTACGCGGCAACGTAATATCCTCTATTTATTCCTCGAGTAAATTAAAGACTAAACTCGAAGTGAACTCAGGATATCAAGATATACTCAAGATATCACGAAGTAGTCCGGTCTCATTTCGTGAAATAGCCGAAACACGCAGAAAAGTCACGAACTTGCACGCCCAATCCTTTCCCGACACTGGTGCATCATTTCCTAACTATTTTTCATAGCTCGAACTATCCTGGGTCGCAGTAGCGCTGTCGGCTAATCCCTCAACTTAGAGTCTCCTCTGATCTGACGGGTCACACAGGTGAGTCGGTTCAAACCCCGGGAAAGCGAAAATAATAATTCTTTCTTCCTCGAAAAAGTTAAAGAATAAATCAAAGAAATCGAAGTGATCTCGAGATATCTCGAACTAATTCGGCTCTCACTTCGTCAAATAGCCGAATAAAACTGAAAACCTACAAACTTTACGCGCTCAATCTTGTCAAAAAAAGGCAACTTTAAAACATTCCTGAGCGTCGCGAATCCTTTACTTCGCGCTCCGCCGAAGTAATTATCGATACTTTGTTACAGCATTATTCTGAATAAAGTGTTTCGTAACATCAATCCTTTATAGCATAAAAGGGAGGATTTTTCAGGCAATTAGTCAAAATACTTCCAAGTACAGTAAAACACCGACAATTGTCCTTAAATTTGCCAGAGAGATTTTAAAACAGCAACTGATGAATAATTATAAGTAAGTGATTGTAACAAACGATTTATTTCCATTACATGTGATATGGAGTTTCAACTCTTTGACAACACAAAAATGTTTGCAAAAATGTTTTTTTTGTTTCTAGAGCGACGTTACTCGTACTTAAAGCACTCAAGACTGTCCGTGGTTGCATTTTTAAATGAGCTGCCAACCACCAAACATGACTTGTCAAGTTTCAAAATTGATGTTAGCCTAGCCTTGGTAAGTTGTCAAACTTACAGACTAAATAATGATTTTCTCTATTGTGAACTCGTGGATCAGTACAGTTGTTGCAACGTTATTTTCGTGACTTGTTTATTTAGGTATAACCTTATAAGGTATCTTTTTATTGTGACTAACGTCAACATTTACACACAGTTTTAGAAACGTTTTAAAATCGCACCTAAGGTTTTGGAACATCTAAGTAGCCACTACACAAGAAACTTACAGCTTAGTGCCCCACTTCAATTTTCAGCTAAAATGGATACTTTTCTTTGACTGAAATTCTTGTCGTGCATGCGGTGTTCTATTAAAGGGTACAGCAGCTTCACAAGTCATCTTGTTAGTTGTCATGGACTGTTTGTGCTTTCTTGGTGTAACGTTAAATTTAGTAGTGGTAGAACCAACGTCCTGCAGGTTGTATTTTTTTAAGTGGACTTAATAGACATAAATAAGCAACAGTTATGGAAATGCGTGAAAACATTTTGTTTGCCAGTTTGGGTGCTAGAAAATATACTTGTCAAGAGATTACAAGTAAATTTTTACAGATTATATCTACTGCCTCATTGAAAAAACCCAGTACAGCAGTGGTCGTTGGAGAGCCTTTCCTGCCCTCAGAAGGTGCTAAGATTTCTTTGAGATTTTTGGTCTTTGACAAAAAGAAATAATGGAATTTGGCGGGAACCATTACTGTCCGAGTGGGTAACTGGTAAGTGGGTACTACTCCGTAAACTCTATCACTGTGATAAAGTGGTAACCTCCCAGGTGATTTTGCATGGTTTTTGTTTTACTTCGATCTAAAACGATCCAAGTTAAGTAAGACATTACTTATATATCTTTTTTCTGGTAAAACGAGGTGAAAGATTTCAAAACCCTTTCCTCTGTGACGTGATTTCGACAAAATTTTACGTATTTTCTTTCTTTTAGCCTTCTTGCCTATCATTTGCCGTCAGAGGATTGTTCCTGGAGAGTAAGTTAACATTTCAATATTTTACGGACCGGTGAAAGTATGGCAATAAGATGTAGGTGGTCTCGGCAGGTAACACCCTTGGAGATCTGCTTCATTCGGTAATTCTTCATAACATATGAAAGCCTAATCCACTAATCGTTTTATTGTCCAGTCAAAATATTTCAGACTTGAACCACTGTTATAGTGTCTGCGACGCAGACTAACATCGATGGATGCATAGTTGCCGTCTGTAATTGCCGGCCTGTTCCTCGCCAAATTCAGGATTTTAAGGGGTGTTTAGTATATCAGGTATTCTTCAAATAGCAGTTGTCATCTGTCAAGCTCTTGCTATTATGGCTTTGGGCAGACGTTCGGCTATTTCTTCTTCGCAAAACGCATGAAATTTCAGGCCATTTTCTACCAAAGCAACTGAGCTAATGCAACGTTGTTCTCCGGGCTCAATTGCCGTTTTTTCTTGGCGATAGCCTTTACTTCTGAAATCATTTTATCGGATATCACAGTCGTGTTCCAAATTTGGTCTAGGCTAGCTGGTTATGAAGAATTAATTGCTATACAGCTATTTCGAGAAAGGTTGTCGGAAAAAATGTGCACGCGACAATCCCGAAAGGTAATATGTGATATGATCAACACACTGTTCCTGACGCTGTAGCAGTCGAACCTACTTTTTGTTGCTTTTCTTTAGCACTCGCAAACATAGGCCCATGGCCTCTCGTGCCGTTCTTTCAAATCTCTTTGAAAAATAGTTAACTCAAAACCACCCATAATACCTTTCGGAATTGTCGCGTGCACTTTTCTGACAATCTCTCTCGAAATAGCTGTAATTCTAGACTTTCACTGAACTAAACAGGGACTCCCATTGGTTTATTCCTGGTCTCGTGGCCTTGACTAAATTGAGATGTATCCATGGGCTGTGGGAAACCACGGCTGCTTTCCATTATGCCAAAATTTCCGGAGATTTCGGTTCAAACGTAAATGGAACGGTTCGGCCCAGGTGGAAATTTTCCGGTCAAAGTGGTTCACCTCCAGAGGTGGTCTTGTTTGACCGGTCGGTCCGGTCCGACCGAAAATTGCAAAGACGAAATATTTTGGAAGTCACACATTACCCAACAATCAATTCGGTCGGACTTTTGGTTGGGACGTGTATAATGGTAAGCACCCCACGTCTCCCAGCAGTTTACCGAAAGGCAAGCGCCTGTCGCCGGAGGCCGCCTGATATAGTTAGGCTGCGTAGTTTCCTAATTTATGGACTTTTATTAATCGATTTATAATGCTTTCAGATTCCAAGAGTTTAAGGTCTTTTACAAGGGTGTTTCTTGCAGTTCCAGCAGCAGGTGGAAAAGCGTAAGTAAATTTAAATATTTTTTCGTCCGAAATCACCACTTGTACAGTAATAATTTCCAGGAATAGTGCTTGATATGAGCCTATGGTACAGGTAGATCGCTTTATTTATCTCGTAGGCATGTATACTAAAAACACTCTCTTCAATCATGGTGAAAAATTGTTTAAGCTGCTCGGTAAATATTCTGCCAGTACTCACGTTGAGTTCAGAGGATAATTGTTAATTACTAGTGTGTGGCCTGTCACACCTGTGTTTTGTATACCGTATAATTTCGAAAATAAGCCCCGCGGCTTATATTTTTCAAAGGCCCTTTTTGAGGGGCTTCTTTACGGAGGGAAATTTGCGTTTCAAAATCGATTTGGCTAGGTTATTGTTGGAAGAAAATTTTCCGTTTTTGCTTTGTTTTACATTGTATTTGAGGGCAATTTCCAAGTACAAGCTCCCGGGGGGTTTTTTGCGTTACCAGTTTGGGGGGCTTATATTTGGAGGGGCGTATGCACGGAGGGGCTTATTTTCGGAATTTTACGGTTTATTATTATGCGTGGCTTTTTGTCTTGGTTTTGTAAAATAAATGAAATATCCCTTTACTTTTTTTCAGGCTGAGTATTATTAATGACGAGCTTCACATTCGCAATGCATCATCAGCTCAAGTTGAGGTTTAACAGTTTTACCTTCTATCTGTTTAGAGATTTTTCCCTTTTGCTTAAATCTACAGAACGAAACAAAGACGGCATCATCTACAGAATAAACGGGTTGGGGCCTTACGCACTATATCTTGTCATATTATAAGCTTTCGTCGACCCACGGCATCAGTTGGGAACGAGGATCCCGCATTTGCGTTAATCAAAGGTTTTTTTTTTTCAGTAATATAGGAGCTGCTTGTTTTCAAAGTGCGCCAATTTTTGAGAAGCTGTGCCGCATTGTTTTATGGTGAAGGAGAAAACCTTGCAGGAGAACTATTTCGTGGCAACTATTTGTTTACTTAAGGGTTCAAACCAATTACACTTTTAAAGAGAAAGTACGTTGTATTTCTTATCAAAAAATTAAATGAGGACAATGTGTTTAGAATGTTTCGTCAGGATCGGTTGAGGATTGGTCAATGAACGGTCAGGAACTAGACACATTGTCATTTTTGTACTTCCCATTAGAACATTACGGAGGTACCTTGTCCTTTAAAATAATTAGTATATGACTAAGCTGTATTTTTTTAATCTCATCTTAAGGGTACTGGAAGTGAGTCCGCAGTCCCCGATTCGCAAAATGTTTTAACTCCGCAGGAAAGTCGACTTGCAGGAACCAGCCCCCAGGTAATCAACTATGGGCACTTTCCACTTATCAGAACTCGGCCGGACCAGTCAGTTAGCAAACGAAACGGCTTTTTCCAGAGGGTTTTGCTGAAAAACTATCTCCTTCGTGCACACCATTTAGGATTTGACTGATCTGGTTGGATAGTGTTGATTAAAAGTGAAATTCTCATTACGACGGGAATGGTCTGGCCGGTCAGTTCTGGCAAATGGAAAGCGCCCTATGTTTAATACGCTCTTTATTCTGGGACTGCGACCTGACATCGGTGAAGTTATGCTTAGTTCGGTGTCTTTGCCTTCAACGCAGAAATGTCGTTTTAGCAGACATCTCTTCAACAAAGTAGTTATACCCTTTCCTAATTCTTATGTGTTTGGTTTCAGCAACAAGAAATGTTACTGCGATTCTCGCAACAGTCCACAATGAATCTAGAGTGGTCGTACAAGTAAGCAGCGTCTTGGAATTTTTTTTTTGTTTGTTTGTTTGTTTTTTTTAAATTCATTCTTGATCTTTTTTATGTATTTAGTGTTCGGCAAATAAATTTAAAAAAATACCAGTAGTCTATTGAACGTGAAAAATCAGATCTGTAGTCAGTTCTCTTAGAGGGTTAGTTTAAAGCAAAAGGCTGTCCGTTGAGTGAGACATCGAGAGACAGTTTGAGTTGGATCCCAGCCTTACGTGGTCACCTTTTGGCGATCGATCACACAGCTTGATGCTTTGGCCTTTTTAACTTTATACAGTGGAACCTCGATTTAACGAAGTGCCAAGGGACTGGGAAAATTTGTTCGTTACATCAAGTAATAGTTAATGATTAATTTCCAGTACCCAGCGTACTGTTTTTGTACAATTTCTGTTATAAACATTTTGTACAGGAAGCTATTGTCTCAGTTCAGGGCTATATATAGCTACGGCACTAGAAACACAAGAACAGGCAAGGAAAACTGCTTAAAACTACTGTACACATAAATTTTATCCTCGTTAATCTGTTTCGAATTCATCTTTAGCTATCTGTTGGTCACATGTTGGCATCTATTCGCTATATCGAGGAATATTTTACGTTTGTGTTTCTAGATTGTGCTCGTTATAACGAGGATTTCGTCAAATCGAGGTTCTGTTCTATACATTTTATTGTAATTTTAGCCGGGTTGAAGAAAATCGTTCGTTATACCGTGGACTTCGTTATATAGAGGTTCGTTAAATCGAGGTTCCAATGTACTGGGTCTTCGTTTTTTATTCAGGTGCTTATCGGCTACCACCCTGAGGCAGTTCTAAAGGTTGTTAATATTATAAGCCAGTTTCCGGCTCTGTAATTCCACCTAACAGTTGCCTCCCAGGCGTAGTCAAAGTGGACATGTCTTGCAGAGCTCCGCAAGCTTGCCTAGATTTCTATTAGTTCATTCGTAAGAAGCAGCTTGAATGGGAGCCACAGCGTTTGTGTGTAAATCGCGACGCGGGACCACCTCAAAGCTTTTCCTCGTGATACGTCACAGTAGGATTCAGAGTTTACCCTCGATCAGGGGTTCAACCTCGTTCTCAGGGTCTTTTACTCGTCCCCTCTCTCCACCCTGCGAACGAGGTTGATCAGGTATTTGGGGTTTCTATTACCTTAAAAAATTCAGTTGCCGGCTTCCCAGGAGGGCTTGCTTCGGAAATGGTTTTCTTTATTCTGTTGCCATAAGACTGGTAATCCCTCTTTCGTGATGCTTGTTTAATAATATTTTTGTAATACTTTCATTTGCAGGTGTCTTTCTGAGAATAACTGGGATTACCAAAAAGCAGCGCTTGTTTTTACTTCGTTAAAGGTAAGCATTTTTTCTCGTTACCCGTTGTGTCACACAGGGTATCTCGTGGTCAGGAAACAGGAGGATTATTTTCTCCATATTTACGTTGCCCTCTCTCATTGTTCTGAAAGCTCAGCACATTTTACCTCACTGTAGGTGGCAGTATTTTTCTGTCCCAACGTCATATCACTTGCTCTCGCATCACAAGGTAATATTTTTATGTATGCTCAAAGTTAAAGGAGCTGTGTCACGAAATTCAGCCAAATCTGGATATTGCAAAATGCCCGTTAAATTGAAAGAAACAAAAAAATAACCGCTTAAAACATTAAAGGAAGGTTAAAATAACACAACAGATACAACAGATGCCACGGATGGGCAAAACTGAAGAAGATTGAAACGGATTGAAATGAGGGTTTTTGAAAACTGTTCAGCCTAACAGTTTTTCAAAGTTGATCCCTGCTATTTGCAACTTCAAAAATAATGCTCTGGAGACATATTTGTTTGTCGCGAATCTCTGATTTTGTCATTTCCATGTAATTTCCTTGCTTACTGTAAGTTCCATACCAATTGAGGGCGAGTAATTGGCAAAATTAAACAAATTGAATTGGACTGCCGTGACACAGCCCCTTTAAATGATACTTATTTTCTGTATTCTACTTATTTCAGAACAACGGAAGTATACCTCCTGAAGCGTTTGTTCAATCAACGTAGCGACTTTGAGTGGAGGAGTGTTGAACTTTCGCTTTTCATTTTCAGTTCTTTTTAAACTTTTATTGCCTTTCGCATGTTGCATAGATTTGTGTGTGTTATTATTATTATTATTATTATTATTATTATTATTGTTATTATTATTATTTCATTCGCCTTGGCACCAAAAGGCAGGTTTAAGGGCACTTTTAGGATATAATACCATCAGTTAATTGCCAGCCAAATCGACAGTATTATCGTAGTTAGACCCATTAGGCGGATGCCTCTGTATATACGTGTATTCGATGTTTACATGCCTTAGTCATTTTATAACATATTCTAGGCTCAAGATGAAGCAAGTTTAAAGAACAGTTCGTTTTGCTCAGTAGTACAGCCATTAACCAACACTGTTAGCGTAATATCCTACAGACAATAACTGAGGCATTTTTTAGCAAATCAAAAAAGGACTCACTGAAAAATAAAGCAAAGCAAATGTTATAAGTTCAGGCATGTCTGTCTTTTTCTCCTTTGTTTGGCTGTTTTTGTGTGTTTGTGCGTGCGTACATTCCCTACGTGCCTAATATCGTAACATTATTCCAGTTCTTAAAAAGTAAAGGATGGCGGGATAGCAGTAGGGGAAACTTTTGAATTCCCATTCTAGTGCTAGTTTCCTTTCATTAATGTAAACTAAATGGTACACAGTCGAGCCTCCATGTGCGACATAAACTACCGCCAATCCAAAACACCCAAATTTTCCCAGTCAAAGCCTTACAGTTGGAGCCTCTAGCGAACGACCTTCTCCTGTAAACGACCGCGACCACTTTTTGGGCCTGACAGTTAATGGTTATTCATTGTTTTTAACCTCTTGTAAGCGACCACTCAACTCAGTCTTTGATCTCTATTTTCGATGTGTGCATTATGTTACTAAGAATATACGAAGAACTTTAGTGACAACATGGAACTACACATATCCTAACTTAAACATTGCATGCAATAAATGATCTTTCATAAAGTAGATGTGCCTGGACCTCTTCTCGGAAGAGACACCCTGTGGTTCGATTCTTGCAAACGACACCTCCAATAAGAGACCACTCAGTCTTTGCATTTTGGATGGTCGCTTACGGGAGGTTCGACAGTATGGACACTTTAACATTACAAAATAGTAATAACATTAACATTACAAAATAGTAATAATACTAATATTTATTGCATTTATTGCGCATTTTAACATTAAAAGATATGATCAAATGCGCATAACACTAGGATAATACTAAAACAAAAGTTATATTACGTACTCTCTGTAACGTAATTTAGCATAACTCATAACAAGAGAAGATAAAAGTAGGAAATAATACCTACGATAGCTCAAGACAAGTTACTATAGACCTCCTTAGAATAGTGCGTCTTAATCCTTCCTAATATAGTCAGGTAAACCGTACCATATCTTTGGAGCAGCTGCAGTAAATGATCTGTCCCCAAGAGTGCATTTGAACTTAGCGGTAGGGTCATGCAAAATAACGCACACATTACTGCGCAGGTTATAGCGAGAACAGGGTTTAATATTTATGAGATTACTTAAATCGCAGGCCTCCGATTGTGAATAGCGCCTTGAAAGAGATCACAGCGATTTTCCAGCAAATTCGGAACTTCATTGGTAACCAATGCAGTTCAAGCAGCACTGGGGTAATATGTCAGTATCTGGGTGTATGAGTGACAAGTGGCGCTGCGGAATTCTGAAGACGGTGCAATTTGTAAAGATGCACAGCTGGTACACCTCAGAGACGACCGTTGCAATAATCAATGCGTGCCATGCTCACGTCTTGTACAAGCAATTTGGTGGAAGCAGGCGTCAAGAAGTTCCTTACTTGTCTGATATTATGCAGTTGATAGTAGACTGATTAACAAGTCTTGTTAATCTGTTCTGTCATCTTAAGGTTAACGTCAAAACACGAACCAAGGTTGCGGACGTGGTCTGAAAACTCAACTTTTGTACAAGGGTCTTGTATCTGTGTA